CTCATGCCACTGCTCTAAGGGCTCATCGCGCGAACCCAGGCTGCAAGCAGTGGCAACTGGTCCACACGATGCAAACAGCGCTGGCTTCATCCAGATGTTCTGGCCTGTTGCTGATAGCGGTGGCGGGCAAGCTGGCCACTGACTTTGCTGAATGTAGTGCATGCAGCATCGCCGATTGCTAAAAAACTCCTTGCTCCAAAACTTTGCATTGCTTGCGCTAGCCCTAATCGCTGAATTCCATTTAGTTCTGTCCTCCCCACAGCGCTACGTCCTGCAGACTACTCCATGTCATGGGGAAACACCTGGTTCCCTTGACCCAAAACGGTTATCCACCCAAAAACTCTCTACCATTAAAGTGTAATTTCGGCAATCTTGGCGTTCACAACACAAACCAAACGTCTACACTGGCGGCGGTTGAAAAAATATCTACTTACATACTCTGAGGCAAAACACAGCTGGCATTTCAGCACTCCTTTTTGAGTCTCCGTGTTCTATTATGCTCCTCTTTAAGGAGCTTCTTCGAAGCTGAGAGCGAGTTACCTACTCTCCACAAGTCCACCTTTCGTTTCCGTGCTTAACTAATGCAACTCTTCCCTCAGCGTATCAACGTCGACTCAGCTAATGCCCAAAAGGATCCGACTTTGTCAGATTCTTGGCGAATATTTGCAAAGTCTGTTCTGCGCACCCACCCGATGACCCGGACCTGACCGCTTGCAGCATCTTGAGAGTTAAGCAGAAGGTGAATGGGCAGAAGAATCCAAGAACTTACTAGGTTCCCAATCACAGTGACATATTGCAAACTTGACATCCGATGCTCGTCTCAGCTAAGGCACAAATGACGCAAAATCCATGAAGTCTCGGCTCGGACTTGAAAAGCCTTGGGTTGAAGCTGATGTGGATTCAGTCTGACAGTCTGACAGTACACCAATCACCCTGATTACTCATTTCTACTATTTTTTTGCTTATACATTACATTACATTGTTTTACGCTCGACTAGACTAGGGGGTCCAATAACTTAATAACACTACGCGCACGAATTCATGCTGATGCTAGCCTATGGCCCTGAGGGGCAGGCTAAAATCCTCGATCGTCTTCCACAGATCTGCCCTAAGGTGTGCAGCTTTGAACGAGCAATGGTCTAGGAACCAAACTGCACACGCACCTGGAAAACCCCTCCAAGTTGTCGGCTGTTGCAGTGGTGTAAGCCGTTCGTCACAGCGTTGGCTTAACTTCCTGAGGAATTTCATGACCTGAGCCGTCATACCAACAACCAACAGCCCCATCTGTCTGAGAGTATAAATTCAGAGCCCCGCCGCAGCACAGGAAACCTTGCAAAGTGGCACCCTTCTTTGTTTTTGTGTTGACTCTCGAATGGAGTGGTTTCCTTGAAGAATCGCTGGGATAGCCGCCTCATTTTCTTGTAGACAGAACAGCAAGTCTGAGCAAAGGGCTTGCTGGATTGAACTTGGGACAGCCAAGGCTGACCTTGAGATGTGTTAATGAAGAAAGGCCAAGAGAACCATGAGCATCTTCTGGGATCTCAACTGGATCTTCTTCAGCAACACTGGGTACTCTCTTTTGATACCTGGGCAAAAGGAGCTCAATGTTCCTTTATTTCAGCCAAAGAAAACATTCATTGCCACTACTGTACATCAATCCCAAATCCTTCAAGCTGCTCTTTTTTATCTTTTTGTGCTTTCCAGGCATGGACGATTTGGTGCCCGGCCTGGGCAGGGCATCCACAGCAACTGTTGTAAGTAGATCATCCTTTTGCTTTAGAGATTCAAATTGATGCGTTTGGGTCAATCCTTCAGTCTGTGCTTTGGTCTTTCGCGTCATTTCTGGGTCTGCTACAACAAGGGCACCTTCAAGCCGGATTCTGATCTTCTCACAAGACCACCTGACACCAAAATGCTCAAAGACCAAAAGACAAGTGGACAACACCCGTGGGCAAAAAATGACAGGTCTGTGCGCAGCACTGCTGGGAGTATCTGGCATCTCGCACCTCGCATGCGCTCCATCCTCGACCACTACTCCACAACGTTCCCTCATGCCAAGCTGCAGATCGCCATTCTTGATTTGCCGGAACAAATGACGATAAGCTGCAACATCAGCCTCTGAACCTGGGCAGGTAGAATCGAACGCACGGTTGGGTTCAATTGCAAGCACACGGCCGTGTCAAGCAAAATGCCAACATAGGTCTGTCTCCCATGTCCCGCCAAGTGGCACCCCTCGGCGTGAAAAGCCTCGGAGCATCCAAGTTCAAGAGGCTGAAGGCGACTCTGAGATAGCGTTCTTGCTCCTAGTAGTAAGGCCAGGAGCCCCTAGTAGCGTCCTTGCTCCTAGTAGCGATGCCAATGCCCTTTGTTACTAGTAGCGTTCTTGCTCCTAGTAGCCTGTCTAAGAAAACGATTAGGTCGGAGGCCATCGCTATTAGGTTGGAGCGACTCACTGCCAAGAACACCTGCCAAGTAGCCTCACTTTCCCGGCCAAAGACACTGCGCAAGCCTTTCTCCGAGATGAAGCGAAGTAGGTACAAGCATGTGGAAAGAGTCACCTTCAAAGCCAAGGCTGCAATTAATTATATAGACTTTGTCAGAGGCAGAACGACGGTCCGTTGGCATTTCAGAAAAACTTTGATCCAAATAAACAATGTGTTCTTATACTAGGAGCAAGGACGCTACTAGGGGCTCCTGGCCATACTACTAGTAACAAGAAGCTACTAAGGGCTCCTGCCATCGCTACTAGGAACAAGGACGCTACTAGGGGCTTCTGTCCTGGCCATTCCTGGCCTCTGTGGCTCCCTCAACAGCACTCTGCAAGCGGGCTTTCTCCAAGAGCTGCTTTTGCTCTTCAAAGCCTCAAGGTAACAACTATGCATATATATATGTATACACATACATACATACATACATACATACATACATACATTGTCGAAACCAGATGGATCCGGCACTGGTATTGGATGCTCCGAATAGGGCTAACACAATACAATGCAAAAGTAACACCGCCTCGGTGAATTGTGATGGTTTCCTCCCACCAACCAAGTGCCCTGCACTACCAATCGCTCCTTTTCCAAAAGAGCCCTGCGCACGATCGAGGATCCTTTCCTCCTATGGCGAAACCGGCTCAAGCAACTTCCACCCGCCCTCCCAGCTCGAGAGGAAGGATGCAGGGTCGAACATGTGACATGCTGCTGCATTGACATACCCAAAAGTTAAATTTTTGTCCAACATGTTCGAGCAAGGCCGAGAAACTCAAAAACAATGCATCTGGCTTTGTGATTGCACAAGCTTTTCCCCAATACTCAAATGAGTATTTCCCCCTTTTAATTTGTTCGAGATTCCAGTTTTGGGCCTATTCTTTCAGGTCAGCAATGCTTGAGGGCATTGACTCCCATCCTTTCAAGAGGCCAAAACTATGTCTTCTTTGACTTTCTCTCAGACTTCACTGAGAAAAAGATGGATCGATCTCGGACTTCCTTGTGGGAGGGCTGTCGGCGATGTTCTCTTGCAGAAATGGAGACGTCTTGGCTTTTCTCTCATTCCTCAAGTATCGTCCACATCGCAGAACTTCACGGAGCGAGGTTGCGTCCATAATCTTGGTTAGGCAATCGGCAACCTGGGCATTTGATGGGACCCATCTTACAGCTACACCAGTGCAAAGGTGCTCCTTTATCAGTCTAGCCTGAAGCAACGTTCTGAACTCCTGACATGCTGGTGGTGCAGTGCAGCTGATTAAATCATACAAACTTTTACAATCTGTTGCTATTAACGAATCTCGTTGTCCTATCTTCTGTAATTTCAACAAATTCTCGTGAAGATCGGCATTCGGGTCTTCAAGCTGTGGATCATCTTTCAGGGCTGAAAAAGCTGGGGGCAGTTTTCGCAATGTGGCATCTCCTAAGCGCCACTGACAACTCCTGTCCAGGAGCCATCCCCAGTACGTCCTACACCAAGCTAAAATATCCATGGCTCCTGCAAGAGCCATAGCTTCAGCTGACAGGGTGCTCACAGCCACTCGCTGAATCTTCTTTGACGACCATACTATCGGGTTCACTACGCTTTTCCGGTTTTGGCCAATATCACTATGCGCCGTCATAATCATCAGTCCTTGATGCGACGATTGAATGAGGCATCTGAGAAAGCCACGAATCGGACTTCATCTCTTGGGATGTACTGATATCGGCATCTAACCTCGGCATTTACCTTGGCATCATGGAGGAGTTTGTTTCCTTCAATGAGATCTCCGACCTGGCCATTGTTGATTTTCCCTTGAAGAAAGCTGAGCCTACTTCCTAAATCTGGTCGGGCGTTTACCGAGGCGTATTGCAAACTTCCTACGAGTCCTCGAAGGGCTTGACGTTCTTCTTCACTGATGGGGGCGTCCACGAGCTTGCGTTGGTCTTTGTGAATACTAATTGGATTGATGTCTTTGACATACTGAGTTTGGTCTACCGTGATTGAAAAATCATCATACTGGTGGATTTGCAGACCTGTGAACACAAAGTTTCTGGCTTTTCTGCTTCCAAACGGGAAGACCTGTTCAAGTTGGTTGATCTTCTGATGGAAGACTGTGTCCCCAGCAAAGAGTCCATCATCCACATGAACACCTATGAATCGTCGAGCTTTGTGATTGTCATCAAACAACACAAATGCTTCGAATCCGAGTTTTTCCAAAGCTTTGGATAACTCCTTAAACCAAAGCAGGGGAGCATTGACTAAGCCGTAGGCACCCTTGAGCAGTCGACAAATCTCAGTAGGACGGAGTCCTAACTTGGCACGAAGTTCCGGTGGAGGCTCAAGGCCTAACAGTCTAGCATCAGCTCGTCCTCTGAGAAACGCTGTTTTGATATCGAAACTTCCGATTTCCCATCGGTTGGTCACACACGTCTGCAGCAGGAGATTTCGAGACAATTTGGACAACGTTGGACTGTCCCTTTCTAAGCTGCTTAACTCTGGGTCTTGGTAACCAAGGATGACCAACCGGGCCTTGGCCTTTCGGTTTTCGGAACGTTTTCCATCAGCATTTAGATGGGTATTGTTCTCGGCGTCCTTCCAAGTGAGGATCCATCGGCATCTCAAAACATTCTTCTCAGGGATCTGATGGCGAAGGATGCGACAAATGGTTTGGGTGTCCATCCAGCTTTGCAATTCCTTTTCCTTGGCATCTTCAAACAGTTTTCTTTCCACGGGGCTTAGAGTTGATAGCTTCACTTCCGTTTTCTGTTTCTTGGCGGCAGAAACAAGGAAAGCACATTCGCATGGATTGGGATCTTGTCTCAACATATTGATGTCGTTTTGATTCAGGTCAATCTCTAACTTCCATCCTTGGTCTTCTTCTAACACAAACGCCTCTCCAAAGAGTTCATCGTCATCATCGGAAGGCACTGGGATGTTTTCAGGTACTTCGGGAGCATTCGTTTCTGTGTTTGGTTGGGGATCTACTGGAGCTTCCGGAGCTACTGACGGTGTGTATTCGGCTTCTGAGCTTGAAAAGGATTTATCTTCTTTCTCGATGATCTCGGGTTCAAGATCTGGTTGCTCACTACTTGATTCTTCGTTGACTGATTCATTTGGACGGTTCATTGGACTTTCGGTTTCGAAAGGCAGGTCTATGTATCTCGCGTTTCCGGATCTGAGCTGTTCGAGCATTGTTTTGACATCGACGGAATCGCTAGTTTTGGACTGTTGAACCTCTTCAACGGCGGACAGCGGTCGAACATGTTCCGGGGCTATCCGGAATAGCTTATTGCCAAGCACAGCCCATATTACATTCTTGTCCTCCTGAACAATCACTTTGAGGGGTCCAAACCACTGGCTGTCCTTGCGCCAAGCCATGATCCAATCTCCAGGATGGAAGACACTCCTTTGAGGTCTGGAGCGTTGATGCAAAGCTCGTCTCAAGGCCTGTGAATTGTCCACTTCACTGAATGCTTTCCTGGCCCTCTCCCGAATGGCTAGCTTTTCTCGAAATTGGATGCCTTCCGGAGACTCTTGTAGGGCCAAATCAAGGGAAGCGTTTGAACTGTCACTTGCGATGGAACCTGGGCCCTTGTTCAACTTTCCAAACACTAACAGTTCTGGAGGGTAGCCTTTGTGTCGAGACCACTTGTTCTTGGTCTGGGTTGCGAACGACAATGCAGTTTCCATGTCTTCCGTGGTTTGAATTGGTTTCTCTTGGTCCATCTTGCTCAAAATAGCTTGGAGTATGCCTCCATGTCGTTCGACACGTGCATTTTGCCAATGAGCTTCCGGCGCTATCACGCGAAGTTTCACATCGTGCTCTTGTAAAAATGAATGGAATCCTTCGGTCCCAAATTCCGCGCCGGCGTCTACGACCAGGGTTCCCGGGGGTCCAGCCCAGCTTCTCCACCCCTGTGTCAGTGCTGGAATTGCGTCCTGGGTCGAGTGACTCGCGGCCAGTGTTGCTGCATGGAAGGTTGTCCCTTGATCTGCAAAATGGTAGAAGAAAAATTGACGTCCTTCTTTGTTGGGCCACTTCACTCCATCCATTCCTACCACATCCCCGAAGTCCAGACTACTATGAATGGCACTCGGCCTGGCAATTTCGGGACTCTTTGTTTCCAAACATGTTGAACAGCGAATGTCCTCAAGTGCATCGATGATATGTGGTTGACAGCCCATTTGCTGACAAAATAGCTTGAGCTTTGAGGCATTAGGATGTTTATGGACTTTTAAGATCCAGCTTCGTTCCTCGGGTGTTAACGCTAGCATCTTGGGACCATGTTTGTCAGCAACTAGGTCGATGGCATGTCTCATGTCCAATTGTGGGTTGGACTGAGGCTCTTCGGCAAGGGGAGCAGTGATGGGCCTTCCTCTGGCCTCTTGGCTTCGGTCGACATGGGATGAGACTCAGAGCCTTGGATACGAATGCTTTTCTTTTCTCTGACAGGTTCTTCCTCAAGGATCGTATCTTTTCTTTTCAGGCTTTGATTCTCTAGTTCGGCTGGCGATGACTCCGGACGTGCAAATACCGTCAGGCCACATCTTGACGAAGCACATGGTCTCCGAAGCTTGCGTGCCGGAAGATTCTCCCAGGGTTCCCACGTGTTTCTACAACCACTTCTTCAAACCGTCTTCGAATTCCAATGAACTTGCGAAGAGGAGCTACCCCTGGAGAAATTTTCAGGTTTGGTCCTACCATGTGATCCATGCCTCTACACAACACTAGGTGATGCACATGGTGATGTGGACACATCTGTTGGACTGCTTGAAGTATCAACCCTTGCATAACTACTTGTGGTCCTACTCGAGGTGCTTCTTTGTCAACTTGTCTCATGATGTCTTCCCAAGTGATTTTGTCAGACATGAGTTGGATCTGAGAGAGACTGCTCTTCTGGCTGAGACGTCTTCTCTTGGTCGGATGGTCTTCGGCATCGGCGGCCAACATGGCGAGGCTTTTGCTCTTGTCGCGTCGAAGACACTGTATGATTTGCCGAGCAAACTTTCGAGGATACAATTCCGTGAACTGTGACACTGGCATGGATTGACCATGGACCTTCGTGGTCCCGGCAATTTGATGATGGGCATGTTTCTCATGACATTTCCGGTCATGAAGATTTTGATGTAATGCTGTGGAGGTGGTGCACACAGTCAAGCGCTTTCGAATTGGCTTCTGGGAAATTGGCTCTCTCAAGTCTCCGACTTGACACAGGTCAAAAGTGCTTGGTACAGTTTCCTGTTGGATCGGTTGGAAACACGATAATTTCAGCATCATTGATCCCTGCGGTTGTTCACAATGAAAATGTCGGTGATGAGTGACCTGATGTTGACACAGGAACCTGGCTAAACTGATTTGCCAAATGTGTTCCTTTCGATCTTTAAGAATCGTGTTCATGAGTTCAGCACTTTTGCTCATATTAAAGTGGGACCATTGGCACCAGGGTCCACATGACGGGCTGATCCAAACATGCTCAGGACGGTCCATGGCAAGGTGGCACAACAAGTTACGACGTCCTACTTTAGTGCTCAGGTCCCCTTCTTGTTTTCCAAAACGTTTTACGAGGAGACCTTGCTGGATGCCCTGGCGTGTCAGCTCGCTCTCAGGAGAGCACATGACTTCGAACAGAAAATGTCTCTTGGGCCGGGGCCGGATGATCTTCGAAATTTGCTCAAACTCTTCTTGGATCATCTTCATGTTTTGCTGACATATCTGATTATAGGCTTGTTGGTTACCTTTAGCGAACTCGAAGTCATACTTGCTGTCTTTGAGAGAGCTGATGACCTGGCTAAGATTGCACAAGTGCTCAATCTCACTGGGACTCAGTTCGGTTCCTCCTTGATCATCGTCCATGGGCCGACTGGTTCTTGTCGGGGTTCTGTTCCTCGGGGTCCCATGGATCCACTGGCTGGGCCATTGTTGTCAGGCCCACTCCTTGAGCAGAATGGCGCAAGTACGTGGGTTCCTTGATCGCTGCTGAGCGTGGATGGTCTTGACTCGAGGCACTCTCTTCCACACGGAGGCTCACATAGCGAAGGAACTGGAGGTGTTCGATTTTCTGGCTCTTCTCGTAGGTGGTCACAAACCATTTGGTCCAGCTTTGGTCCTCGAAACCTTCGGCAAATGTCTTGCCGAGCTTGGCTTTGCCGAAGGCGATGGTCATATCTTTGAGACGAGCCATGGGGATTCTCTCGAGAGTCTGGATCTCCTCCTGCTCGTTCTCCTTCTTGATCTCGCTCTGGTACATCGTCAGCTTTTGACGGAGGCTGGCCATGGTTAGATTGCAAAATCTCGAACGACCGAGTCACTGCTTGAGAGCTCGTGTGCTTAGATTCGGTGTCACTGACTACGGATCTTATGTCCTTTACGTCAGGCTCACTTTCGAAATGGTCAGTCTTAATTACTCTTGATGGCTGGTTGTCCTGTGGCGCAAAACACTGTTCTGTTTTGGTTTCAGGTGTTTCGACTGCAGGCCGCGGATTTTGGACGGAGGGTTCCGTCTGGAGCGAATGGATCTTGTTCGATCCCTGTACCTGCACCATGTCTTCGACATGCGAAACGTCCTGTGGCCACAATTGATTAATATCCAGCAACATCAAATTTGATGCTGATTTGGTGGTTTCGAGATAGGTATGTAGGTACTTGCTCCACAAGGTGCCACTTTCGGTGTCAATTACTGCTTGGATGGTTCGAAGAAAAGCGCTTGACAATAAAAACGGTGTTGGGCCTGGGACGATCGCACTTCGAAACCATGTTTTGTGCACCGGAAAGATCAGAGCCGTCTTGCTGGTCAATGTCTGGTGGTTGCCGAACCTGAAGGTAAGATTGCAGGCTATCTTACGGATTTGCTTCTTGATGTTTGGGGGAATGTTCTCGAGTAGTTCCGGAACCTGCTTGCTTCCTATCACTTTGTGAGGCCCCCAAATCAACTACCCCCACACTTCCTGAGGATGCGAAACATGTGACGGCTTCCTGAGCTGACCATTCTGCGACGGGCTCATGAGACTTCGTTCGAAAGGCTGGAAGGCTGTCCGGAGCCAGTTGCCTCACTGGGTTCCTTAGTCCAGCAAGGTTCATGAATTTGGCTCTTAATTTCTTAATTGTTTGCGAACTCGACCTACGGCTTCATCCAAAACAGTAAAACATTCTTCAATAGGCTGAGTCGGAGTGGCATGGCCGACTTCGGGAATGTCGTGCAGGCATGAGTCGAGATCGATGACGAACGATGTAGGGATTTCATTGCTGGGCACTGACTTCTTGTTAGGACACTCGGCTTTCCAGTGTCCTGGTTGACCGCACAAACGACAGTTTGAGGATGCGATTCTCTGCGCCAAGCTCTTGGTTTTTCCTTTGATGCCTTTTCCACGACCTTTCTTCCCTCCCTTGAAAGGTTTCGATGGCCAAAAACCTCGGGAGCGGGTCTTTTCCATAATGCGCCTCCTGGCGTCTTGGTAGCTGACAAAATAGGTTGCCAACTCTTTGTCATCTTGAATGGCATCCATCACTGCATTCTCAAACTGGAGCACGAGGGAAGCGTCATCATCTTCCATAGCCAAGGTTTCCAAGGCTTCCTCATCCAGCGTTTCTTCGGGTTCCCAATGCATGTCCTCTGTGGAGTCCTCATGGTCATCAACTCCAAATGCCATGTGGTCGTACGTCTTTTGTCCCTTCTCTCGCTTTCCTGAGGTGTACTCCTGGAAGAAGCTCGACCCCAACATGCGGATTGCGGCAGACACTCGTTTCATCTCCAGCTCTTTTCCTGTTTCTTCGGCACCTGATTCAACTAAGACCCTCTTCTTGTAGTTCATGGAGAGTCTGCTGCCCCGTAGTACAATGTATGCTTGTCTTTTTCATCAGTAACTCTGTCCAGACCACTTCTGAACGGGCCAAATAGGAATCGGCGCTTTCATCTTGCTTCTGGCTACATCGGAAAAGAGCCTTTTCAACGATGTCGAACTTCCTCTCCAAGCTGACTTGGCCAAATTGGCCTCCAACAATTTCCACAATTCGAGAAATTCCTTCCACAGTTCCGCTGAGGAGGTCCTTCTTCTGTAATTGCAGTTTCGCGAATGCTGAACCCTTGCAGTTCAAAATGATCCTGGTCGCGAGTTCACCAAGCTTTCCTTCAGGCCATACTTGGGTCAGGAGTTCAATCTTCTGTGCCCACTGCTCCACATTGTCGACCGCGGGGTCGAAAGTTGGAACCAGCGAAGCTAACTGATTCCCTGCTGAGGAGATACCGGTGTCCAACGTGACGGAACTCGAGGTCTCTGGCGTGGTCCACGAACTTTCCAGCCGTTGCTATGATCAGGATCTCCCTGTGTGATCGCCCAGTAGCTCCGCTACCAATGTCGAGCCCAGATGGATCCGGCACTGGTATTGGATGCTCCGAACAGGGCTAACACAATACAATGCAAAAGTAACACCACCTCGGTGAATTGTGATGGTTTCCTCCCACCAACCAAGTGCCCTGCACTACCAATCGCTCCTTTTCCAAAAGCGCCCTGCGCACGATCGAGGATCCCTGTCCTCCTATGGCGAAACCGGCTCAAGCAACTTCCACCCGCCCTCCCAGCTCGAGAGGAAGGATGCAGGGTCGACCATGTGACATGCTGCTGCATTGACATACATACATACATACATACAAGATTTGTTGGGTGTCATCACCATCTCTAGCTTTCCTGTTTCCCGGGAAGAATGTTTTCGTTGCCTAATGTCAGGAATGCAGAAAGAAGGAATGCCTTCCATTCCTTTAGGAAAACCCCTATCAACAGTAGCATGGCATTAGCAACAAGTAGTCAACAAAGGCATGTGTCTTCAATGCTCCCTTCTAATTACTCCTCAGGCTGCGACCCTTCCGGACGTCTAGATCCAGCAGGAGATGCTCTAAATCCTCCTGGGCAAGAAGCTTGTCTCGGTGTGCTGAACATCGAAGATCCTCATCTCCCCAGCCTCGTCCAAGGAGCACATTGAAGATCCTCCATGAGCTTCGAAGAGACACAGAATGTCCTGTGCCTCACAGAGTGCCAAGCATCCGAAAAGCAATGGATGAGAAGCCATCTCTCCCCAAGCTACAAACAGGTCATGTCACGACACTCCTACTATGTACATAAATTCGAATGAAAGCGCCTGAGCTACACTCTACACTCAACATCATTTTCTATTGATGCCAGCCCTGGCTGCACACGGGTGATCTTTTCCCTCAATCCTGCTTTGTCGTCGTTTCCGATGTCCGTTCCTTTATTTCTGTCCAAGTCAACCTCTTACCGGGTGTCACAAGGCTTCATTCCGCCCTTGGCTTCGTTGTACTGATCCCCGTTTGTTGTTCATTCTCCCTCTCTCGTGTACGAGGCCCATGAGGATGGCACAAGGTCGGAACACTGCATGGCAGGATTTGCTCATGTTGTGCTGCCCGGCCAAACTGATGAGTGGAGGCAAGGCCGAATCCCTGCCTCGGATACAGTCCAGCCAGCTTGTCGTTGCTTTTGGGCGGCCTCCTCTTCGCGCAGAAGCCTGAGTTGTGCAACCGATTGACATTCCATTCTTCCGCCATAGAATTTTAGCAACCCTCTCATGTCGCCTCAACCTTGCAATCCAGCCAATAAGTGGGCTTTGAGTGTGAATTCGCTTCATGCCAAGGAGCTTGACCAGGTTCATGAAGTCTTCCAAACTCAAGAGTCTGTAGTTCTGAAGACCAATCCGAGTTAGGCCCTGCAGCGCTGTTGCTCTGGGCTTGCCAGCTGAATAAACAACATGTCCATGAAAAGAATAGCAAGCCTCCTCCAAGGCATCCTCTTCCATTGACCAGCCAAGGGAACCCAATGCCTTCCAAACAAAACGCACCAATGATGGCAAAGCTAGCAAGGCAAATGGCAAGATTTCAAGCCTCCAAGGCCCCTTGCGGCACCACTAGCCCTTCTCCTTGCAACACCTCAGGCAGCACGAGTCTTGCATTCAACTTCTCTGTGAAGACAGTGGCGGAGTCAGCACCCAACCTTCTTTGCAGTGCCTTCCTGCACAAAGCTGCAAACTACTCCAGAGTGCACAGTGCATGTCCCATTCGCTTGTCCACATGCGAGCCTGTTTCACACTGCTGCGCCTTCTGAAAGCTGCTCGCGAGCTTTCATTGCCTGAGTACAAGAATGCATCCAAACATAGAGGGGAAAGCTTCAACACGTTGCCCCCTTTCTGCTTGCAAAGGAGATTCTCTGCCGTCGGCCAAAAATGAGCTCCTTTGGAGAGTCCTGAGTTCCAAACACAAGCATTCAGAACTGCAGAGCTTGTTTGCGTGTTTGTGCGTGTGTCATCTGTGTCATGGGAAGTCTGTCTACGACAAGCATGCAGAGCTGTCCTCATCGTCAGACATTGTCAAGGCAGAACCTGTCTCCTCGAAGTCGCTGAGATCAGAAAAGCCCATTTCCCTTGCCGCATCAGTTTGCTGCATCAGATGTGGGAAAGGATCTGAACATTTCTCGAAACTCCGAGCAGGCAACTGGGCATTCATCTCATATGCCTCAGCTGGATTGAGGTGTTGCACAATGTCAGTAATGCAACCAAGCATCTGATGCATCACTTGCATTGCATTGATGCAAGTGATATCTTTGTCAAGTTTAACTGCTGGCTATAGATTGGATTGAAAACATTGATATTGGTAGCATCAATAGGTATGCAAAAAAAGAGAGAGGAGGGAGAGGCAAAGAGATATAGAGAGAGGGAGAGAGAGGGAGAGAGAGAGAGAGAGAGAAAATAGCTTACTCAACCGGACAACAACCCAATAGCGTACTTGTATGATGTAGTTTTGTCCAAACGAACGATGGCTCACGGGAATCCGAAACATTTGAGATACTTTTGTCAATCTGCACTTTGAGGAAACCAGCCAGGTTAAGGAGGCCTATATATTGCAGAAATACTTTCAGGAGCCGCTTGTGGGCTTTCGGGCCTGTGTGCAGCACATGTGCTTGCTTCCCACCGGGCAACTGGAGCGAGACGCAATTTGAAATGGGCGAGATGCATGAGAGGGGAGGACAAGACTTGGAATTGGTTGTTTGGAATTGTTTCACTTGGCGGTGCAAAGACACTTCTCAACAACGGGACAGATACTTTAAGCACACCTCCAAAGTTTGACTGTTCATTGTAGCTAGAGCAGACCCATCCTTTTACCAAAAAGTTGCTTCTGCATCACACTACCTGGGTTGGTCGGGTGAGGAAGCTGATGACCAGCAAAATGATTGGCCTTTCTGTATGGAACCATCTAGGTATTATTACAAAAGACAAGCCAACAATATGGAAATTCATTAGCCGGTCAATATGTGTGTATATATATATATACACCAATCTCTTTTGCATACATTGCACTGGCCCTAAGCTTGTAACATACTGAATAAAGTTCTTTGTAGACGTCTCTTTCAAGACAGGAAACAGTTCTTATCATCCCTCTTTGCCTCGAGCGGCATGCCCTGGGCGAAAATTCCGGCATCAAGCGAAAAGAGGATGTGGAGGTCAATCGAAATTATTCACACAGAAAGGTCTCGCCTTATCATATTCAAGAAGTCCTTAGGTTTGAGCACCAGGCAACAATCTGTGCAGGTTGAGTCTTTTGGCACAGGTCTACTTAAAGGTGCGTAGCAAACATGGACGAAACAACAAACATTAATCAGATGACAAAAATCCATTGGCTAATCACCTTTCTCACCTTCCTGACCTGGACAGGGCACCCCTTACTGAAAATAAGCGACACCGCTCAGTTATGCTCGGTCCAAGAGTCGGCAAGACTCAGTAGGCGATGACCAGCAGCTTTAGCATCCAACAGCAAGGAATAGATTTCGTCGCTGTTCAAGCCAAATCCTGTTCGCTTCAAGGGGGTAGGCCGAGAAGCTATTAGAAACAAGTGCATCGCTACTAGTAACAGGTGCCTTACTAGTAGTAACAAGAAGCTATTAGATAGCTAGTAGAAGCAATCGGTAGCTAGTAGCACTACCTAGGACGGATAGCTCACGCTTCTTCAAGGAAGCTCCTTCGCCTGAGGGCGGGGGGAGCTTCCTTGAAGAAGCGCTCGCGCTATTCATGTGGTTCTTATATTTTTAGGGAAACTTAAGTTGCAGTATTTGGCTTCTCCCTCTGCAAGTTTCAGGCTGTTGAATCCAGGCTGCCCATGTAGCGGAAGATACAAAGGCAATCTGCTCGGTCAACAAAACCTACTTGATCCTCAGAACGAAGTGGAACGCGGCACCGCCGCACCAGCAAATGGTTTGAAAGTCGGAGTGAGAGGCTCAGCCACCAGCTTCTGACTGGAATTGGCTAAAAACGCCGCTGAAGTATCGTGCCTGAGAAGAAAAATGACCATGAGCCCTGTGGTATCCGTGTTTAAAGTATCATCATCAACTTGAATTTTGGTCTTCAGACACAATCTCCGCAAGCGTCTTGCCTCCTCTGTTGACAGATCCTTCACCAATGCACAATGCCTTCTAAGGCAATCCAGTACTTCGAAGCTGAGATGATCAGTGTGCTCCAGCCCGAGTTCAGCGAAAAGCTCTTCCTGAAGCTTGCAACTCCAAGATCTTTGCAGTGACGACGTCGAGTCTATCTCTTCACCAAGTGCGCTGCTTGAAGCTCCAGAAATGGTGGCAACCCTGGAAAAGCTTGAAAACAGCTTGCACAAGCTTGCAAACAAACCACGGAGGCAAACCAAGAAATTTCAGTCGATATTTGCCTGGCACCAAAGTAGACAGCTCCGTTGCAGGAACCAAGCCTTGGTGATTCCGCGTCTTTTTTCTTTCCAAAGATACACAAACGTAGTCCTGAAGAGAACTATCTAGGATGTATATACATGCTGGTTTCAGCTTCTGCTAGCACAGCACTAAACAAATCTGAGAGCACCTGAGTATACTTGGCCCGAGTACCCCAGAATGCGAAACATCAAGCTCGAGAGTTTGAAGCAAGCTAGTCTGCAACATGCAAAGCAATGCCAGGAGGCCAGCGCTTGTTGCCACCTGGTCTGCTGCGACATGTTGTCAAGACCAAGTCGCTAAGGACAGTGATTGTTTGGAAATAATAACAGTGCTTGACCAAGAGTTTGAGCAAGTGATGCAGCAGCATGTTCAAGTGTAAAGCCATGTATATAAACAGCTCTCTGGCCTTCTGATACCTCTCCCAATGTTTCCCAAGCTCCAAGCACCGCATCCGCCGCATCCAGATCAAAAATTCACTGAATGCCATAGTGTGAGACAGCCTCATAGAAATGCATTTGCAAGCCAACCAAAGAGAATGGTTGGCAACTGTTTTAGCACTGAAAAAAGTGAAAGTAACGCACATCTAGCACAGTTTCCAAACTCTGAAATGTGCAAAACAAGGTCAGATTGAAGCAGAAGGAAAGCAAAGGCGATCGCTGCAGATCTTCATCTCCTGACGCATCGCTGGCGTCACTCATCAGATCGCCGCTGCGCAGCCGACGACCTTGTGCTGGTCGTGGAGAGGAAGACTTAAGAAAGCATGAAAGTTAAAAGTCAATTTTCTCTTTTTAGCCCGCGGGGGGAGGTAGGCCGCAATAGTAGTAGCTAGAGGTAGCTAGTAGTTTAAATAGCTACTACTTAGGACGCAGGATAGCTCGCGCTAATGATTTGGTTCCTAGATTTTCAGGGAAACTTAAGGTAGTAGCTAGAGGTAGATCTGCTGAGCATCAGGTCACAGTATCAAAAGCCAAAGCATTCGCCAAACTCCAATTCTGCCCACACAAAGCACGGGCATAGGGGAAAAAGAAGAACACCGACCCAGGACCGACCCAAATTGAAACACTTCAAACAAGCGGCATATCTCACGGACACTGTCGGACACATCGTATTCATGCAGTCGATGCAAAAGCTCTGGGACTCGATGAATGCTGACTTCAGGGCGCTGGCTCAGTGTGCTGACTCGAGCTACAGAGAGAAATAAAGTCTCAGCACACTTGAGCAGAGTGGACGAGGAGCATTGAGCTGCACGATGTGTCGCCAAAATCAGATTGATTTGTTCCAATGAGAACTGGAAGCTGTTGTCATCCCCAGAAACTTCTGAATCGCTAGATTGGATCTGCGGTTGCTGTTGTATATCCAGTCCCAACGCTTCCATAATGCTTTCACGAATGGCTTGCCAATCCGAAGATAGCCCGAGATCATGCAGAAGAAGTGGAAGTCTGGCCACATGAACAAACGTTGAGCCATCAGCCAAGTCAGTCGAATGTGCCTTAAAGGTCACCTGCAACTGTTCGTATTCCCATGGTCCAGCACACTCCACAACTTTGAGCAGCTCCTTCCAATCTAATGTGGAAAAACGAGACACCTCTTTTGCTAGAGAGGTAGCAGCTTCCTCAGTGATGCCCAAGTATCCAAGATGGTCGAGAACATCATAAAGATCACTGCAGTTCATCTCTGCACCTGACTTGAAACGCTGAAAGCTCTCCTTCACAAAAAATTGCTCATGAGTGCTGAGCTCATGTCTGCGGCTTTGCCTTTGCAAATACTCAGAGGCCCCGCGACAGCCCTTGATGCGGCGTTCTTCTAAATCTGAAGCATCTACATCCAAAGGTGGCAAGCAGCCCCTGGACGAGTGCCTGCTTCCGCTTAATGATACCAAACATATTTCGTCCGAAGTACGGCGAGAACAAGCTTTCGCAGAGTTTTCGATCGGTTCGAGGACTGACCTTCCCCCCAGGGCATGCTTTGTGGCTCCTAGTGTCCAACGCCGACTGGGTGGAAGTGGAGGATCCTCTGGCGCCACCGTAAGCTGTCCAATGCTTACAACGCTCACCGTCTCTCCCAAACGTCGCGTTGGCGTGGTTGGGGAAGATGGCCATTGCAACATGACAGCGACATATGTGAAAAATGGAAAAGAGCAAACAAGGGCTTTTTCAAAGTTGGGAGAGCTTGGAGCTTTCACTCTTTCATGCCTTCTCCATCGAAAACCTCCGGAGCAATCTGATAAATAACTATTCTTGTACTGAGCTATGCTGAGCCTTGAACAAACCGCGTGTTTCATGAGCCAAGTCTGCACAGTGGCTCCAACCAGCCTTTTAAGGGTCTTGCTTTTCCAGCAATTCTCTCAGAAATGCTACCGCATGTTGCACGTACTTTTCGCACAGGCGAGCATCTGGACAGAACTTTGGGCTCGGTCTGCGTTGCGCAAGACAAGGAAAATTCGTCCAGGGTCAAGAAATGACACAACTTGAGATGACGCTATTAGGTTGGAGGCTATCGCTAGTAGGTTGGGAGACCATTGACCTGGACCTATAAGTTGCGTCAGCAACTCAATGTCGTGAGCTGTTTCACAGAAGCAAGATTCGCCTCTCCATGACCCCCGGTATGTGCCAAACGCTAAACCCTGGACTGGACTGGAGAGGATTGCAGGGATCATAGGAGGATGTCAACTGTAACCAGCACCAAGGAGTTCATTTTTCAAAATTTGCTCCAAGGTGGCCAACGACGGCACATGCAATGCCACATGTCGATGGCACATCATACTCCTGATTAACACATGATGTATCACTAATATCGAAGGTCATCAAACTTGTTCCTCCACTAGTCTTTGGCTGAAGTTTGAATTGAATCCTGCATCAAAGTTGGAAGTCTCTGGTGCCCACGTGCTTGCGCCATTGCAATGCAACTGCCATGAGGCGAAGAATAGGATTGAGGAGAGCGTGCCTTGGCACTCCTAGATAGGCAACGGCAAAAATGCCTATGTCAGCAGGTCCCTACGAAGAACCTCTCACTACGAATCTGATGATATCAATTCCACTGCCTGTCTGTCTTAAGTCTAAGGGCAAGTCCACATAATTGGATGTGTGCTGTTCTGTATGAGTTCTGTGTGTGTTAGTGTTGGTTGGTCTTCTTTTTTGCGCGGAATTGAGTCGCTCTGCATGAGGACTTCGCGTCGACTTTTCAGCGTCTCAGACCTCGGGAGTGGTCCACCAGTCGCGGCCATTCTTCATCCTCGGTACCATCGACCCTGCACCTAGGAGCAAGGACGCTACTAGGGGCTCCTGGCATCGCTACTGGGAGCAA